ATGTATATATATATATGTGTGTGTGTGTGTGTATACGTATAAATATATATATATATGGCATATGGAAAAGTAAATATACTGAGCATAAAAAGGAGGATAAAACTTCTAAAAATAATTTATTTTGGAATAAATTTAAATTTATTAATAAATAAAAATAAAATAAAATAAAATAAAATAAAAAAACAAATAAAAATAAATTTATTTTGGAAAAAAATTTGTGATAAAACTAATACTGAGACAACATTATAAAAAAAAAATTGAAAAAAACCACTTGTTCTATTTGCCAAATGTAAAGGATGGTCTTTTCAATAAATGGCATTTAATAATTTATCATATGGAAAAAATATATCTTGACCTTTATATCATATGTAAATAAATGTTCAGATATAGTGCAGATGTCAATGTAAGAATAAATTTAAAGCTTATAGAAGAAATACAGGATTTTTTTCAAAATTTTGTGTTAGATAAATATTTCTTAAACAGAACAAAAAATATTTAAGCATCAACATCAGACTATATTAAAATTGACATTTAAGTTAGGTTATTTCAATAGTTAAAAGAATAGCCATGGATAAAAGATATTTGCAGCAAGTATGATTTTCATAGGCTCATTTTGACTTAAAAAAAAACATCTTTAAATCAATAAGAAAATAAGCAAGCTGATAGAAAAGGCGAAAGTCTTAAGCAGGTATTTCTCAAAAGAATGACCAATAAACATGTCATTTCTATAAAGTACAAAAACAGACATAACTATTTTATACTCTTAGAAGCCAGGATGGTGTTACCCGTGGGATGGTATCATCAAGGTCATAGAGGGAGCTCTGAAGTGTTGGTAAGGTTCTGTTTTCTGATCTGAACGTTGGTTATAAGAGTGTGTCAATTTTATGAAAATTCATCAAGCTATACACTTATAATATATTTACAATTTCTTATATGTACATTATATTCCAAGAAAATTTTTAAATTATACCATGACCTCAAATTAATTATAAGAGGATATGTAAACTAAAACTAAAATTTCAGGTGTTGTAATTCTAGCTTTCCCTTTTTGTGCCTGAAATATTTGGGTAAGAACACATTTGTCAAACAAACATAAGTTCAGACCACGGGTAAACCCTGGCCCTCTATTAAAAGACCATAAATGAGAAATGTGATAATGGTCTTTTTCCTCTATCTGGGATACAAATCTAGGACTTTTGACCTTTGATATGTGGTCCAAGGAGCCTACATATCGACGTTTTAGATTAACAGGAAAAGAAGAAAAGTCTATTGAATAGAAAAGAATGGTAAATCTCTCAGTACACTTACATCATATTGATCAAAACAGAGTACATGGTGACCCCAAGCTGCAAAAGTCTATGAAGGTAGGTATTTTTATCTAGGAACATTGCTAACAAAAGTAATATCAGGATTCTGTGAGTAAGGATGAAGAAATAAATTCACTATTTGTAGGTGACAAGCCCTACATATAGTGTATGGCAGACAAGACTTTCCATAGCCCTAAACATTAGAGGTCTCCCATAGCACTGTGGTGTGTTACGCAGTCAACAAGATTTGTTAGCCAACATCTTTGCCATAGCTAACAGTACCCTAGAATTTAATGCATGGTTCCAGTTTGCTGTAATACTGGGTAAGGGACTTCATCCTGTCTTTTGATTTGGCAGAATGGTGAAATAGAAGAGAGAGGATTATGTTGATTGACAGCATTTATAAAAGATCTTTGAAATGATTGTGTTTAGACTCCATATTAGATCAGGAAGCAAGAAAGGGCGAGAGAGGGGTGATGTTCAGAAAGAAAGTAGAGGGGTCAGATAGTTAAATTACCAATAGATAGGGAAGCAAGAGAGAAGATTCACAATCAACCTGAATCAACATTCCGAAGTCTTCCAGCACTTTACAGCCTCCACTGCAGGGACCCAGGCAATTGTTTACAAGCAATGAGTGCAGTGATCTCAGGACTCCAGGGATTGTGCTCCAGGTGTGCCCTCCACCACGTGGGCTTTGCATGTGAGGTAGAGATGCTCTTCTCTACTGTTCCTGTCTATAAATAGAAGCACACTCAGATTATGCGATGCAATGTAATGTAATGTAAGGTAATGTGATGTAGTGTAGTGTAATGTGGTGCATGAGAGCTGAATCCATCTGGACAGGCAGAATTTACTGATCTATGACACCTATTCAGAGACTTGAGCACCACCTGGCCTTACTGTGGCCGTGTTCCTCTGCGCTAGGACCCTTTGGAAGCACATTCAGTCCTACGTGTGACTGACCCCTTCCAGAGAGGAATGATTCTCCAAGGTATCTGACTCTTTTATTTTCTAAATTGACCTAACTGCCTCTGACCTTCCCATGGAAATCTTTCCACTTTGGCCTCTACATCTCCATTCTGTTGTAAGCAAACATTCTGCAGCCCCTGTGAAAATTCCTTCCACGTCCCTTCCCTGAAACCCGACTCCTTTTGGAATACAGTTTCTTCCTCTTGTCCTTGCTCCTTGTTCTCCCTCATCTGTAAGACCTCAGATCTAGAGACAGGAACCGCATTCTGTTCACCACCTGTCAAAAAACCCCAGACTATTGTCTCTGCACCTTTGAGGCTCAGGTCTTTCACCCCTACTTTTCCCCAGCCCTTTTCCACTACCATCTTTATACACACCAGACACTCTTCCTTATATATTGAAGACAACACAGCTCAGAAGATTCCACTGTAACCTAAAACACCACATGACTTAACTGTCCGCATGGACAATGTGGAGAGAGCCTGAACTCATCAACTTTAAAGACTGTTGATTAGAATCCCCTTTAGCCATTAATTCCCATGGCCACACTGTAGGTAGATCTGATGATAATTCTCAAGATAGATGCTGTTCCATCTCTGAAATCTTACATCCTGTCTGAAACCTTGCATCCTTAGATTCTTACGCTCAGTTCCTTCTACAGCACTTGTTCTTTGATGATATGTGATCATTTATTTCCTGATCCCTTTATTGTCATCTTATTTCTCAGAGGCTCACTATTTTTTAAAATTTCTTATCTAAATACCTAAACTGGATGGTCCTACTTCAATCAATCTTTAGGCATTAATCTTATAGTTCTTGCCCCATTTCTGCCTTCTATCAGTGATTTTGTTAATTCCCAATCATGGATTAATATCCTGCTGTTTATAATGTATACTTTGTCTATTAAGCAGAGTTCAAAATAATCACACAAGTGTGCAGATTGGTGTCACTGAAACCTGTTGTCATCTTCAACACTAACTAGGTTTATAGTGTTGCCAGGAAAGTATTATTATTTTTTTTATAATTGTCTCCCATTGTCATTTCCTACAGTGACTATTTCAAAACTTCTCACACTCCTCAGAATCTCTAACCCAGAACCTCCTCCATTAACTCTTGGGAGGCACTTAATTTCTATTCATAAGAACAAAAAAGGTCCCAGTATAAATTAATTGATGTTTCAACTTTCTGCCTTCACACCCATAAAAGTTACTGAAATCTACCCCAATCTTTTCCTCCTTCATTCCAGTAAAACTGGAAATAACTGTTCCTCCTTGTACCAAAATTTGTTCCTCTGGTCCCTATTCCAATCTCATCTGTCTCCTCAGAACTTCAATCCATTGCTAACAGATTATTTCCAAAAGCTTGTAAATATATCTCAATCTTTAAAAACTCAAATATTATCCCTTCAACATCCTTGTCTACTTAACACCATGTCTCTTTCCTCCTCTTCAGAATTGAACCTCTAGAAAGACTTTTCTATATTCAGATCCTCTTCTTCTTGTCTCGTCTCCATGCCTCATCCATTGAGGTTTAGCTCATGCTGAAAAGACTCAAATCATAGTCTTTGTGCTGTTAAAAATCAATAGACACCTACTAGTTATCATCTTACTAGATAGACATTTCTTCAGTATTTGATCTGTTGGACATTCCTTCCTTCTTAAAACTCCCTTTCCCTTTTCATTAAGGAAACCAGTCATTTCTGATTTCCCACTTACGTATCTGGACTACCCTTTGAACTTTCTTTGGTTCTTTTCCCACTGCCCATCCATTCAGGATTTGCATTCCTTGAGGATTATCTTTAATTTCTATTCTTTTCTGAGTTTTGCTCTTAGTGTTTGTCTTGGTGAAATCACATCTACTCTGAAAAGGTGGGACTATCTCATAGATAACATAGGGGGGTGGACCTGGCCTTGGAGTTTAATAGAAGTAGTTGTAGTCCTGTGTGTCCTTGGACAAATTGTTTAACTACATAAAGACTTGATTTCCTTTCTATTAAGCAAGGATAATATCTACTCTAAAGGGCTATAGTGCTAAACTATCAGTCGTTAATAATGTGGATTCTGAATCATATTAATGGGACAAATTCCAGTTGTCACTGACTGACCTTGGACAATTTACATCCTTCCTTCTGTGCTTCAGTTTGCTCGTTTATAAAATGAGGATGATAATATGATTTACTTCATAGGATTAAATAATGCTACTTAATTCATAAGATTAAAAGAGCCTCTTAATAAGCAGACTCCTGAAAATACTCATCAGATTGCAGTGCTAAGAAATTCAAGCCTAGATAGGAGCAGGAAGGATGGGGCACAAAAACTTTGACTCAATTTGTTTCTACGTTTGGCCTCCAGAGGGCAATGCTGCATACACTGGAAATGTCTCCTCTAACAAAAGTTATGCCTCACTCCCGTGAGCTTCTTCACCTCGCAGTTCACTGAGGGGCACATTCTGAGTAGGCTCCACACCAGGAGCAGTCATTGTCAAGGAAACAGGAGCTCTTTAACCTCAGATTTTCCCCGTTACGAGGACTCAGCATACTCTGGCACATTCCTTCCTGCTCCTCAGGGAAGAGCTTCCAGAAGATAGCTCTCAGCTTCTCACTGCCTAGCCATGTTCTCAATGACTATTATGCTGCTTGGAATGCTCTTCACAGTGAGTAAGTAACATTGTATTCCATGCTCCTGCCTACGTAGAAGGAACATTGTCCCAACTGGAAACTGAATAGAGACAGTGTCTCTTTACAGGTGGGTCTGCCTATCCTGGTATGACTGACTCAGCATTGATGTTTCAGGAGGAATGGGAGCCCAGTCAGTGACCCAGCCTGACGACCACATCACTGTTTCTGAAGGAGCCCCTCTGGAGCTGAAGTGCAATTTTTCCTATAGTACATCTCTTTATTTCTTCTGGTACATCCAGTACCCCAGCCAAGGCCTCCAGCTTCTCCTCAAGTACATAACAGGAGATAACAGGATGGTTAAAGGCATCAAAGGTTTTGAGGCTGAATTTAAGAAGAGTGAAACCACTTTCCACCTGAGGAAACCATTAACCTATTTGAACGACTCAGCTGAGTACTTCTGTGCTCTGGGTGACACAGTGACTGAGACTGCAGGGGGAGCTGAACACAAACCTCTGAGTCACTGGGGTCTTCAGAGACTCAATGATACGGCCTGACCTGCTTTTAACAAGGCCTCTCATTTGATGAAAGTGAGCAGGGTGGGGAGCAGAGCCCTGGGGAGCGCTTGGCTGCTGAGGACAAACAGGAACTTCAACGTGTTCCTTCTTCTACTACTGGGTCATGTTAAACAAGACCTAGAACAGGGAATCTTGTATGGATATTCTCTTTCTAATTGGAGATACTGCATTCTAGAGGCTGAGGATTCTAATTTAATGTGACCAATACTGACTTCTGATGTTTCACCTTCTGAACTCACCTCCAACATTCTCCCCCCACTACCTTTTGCTTTTCAATTGATAGCACCTCCATTTTCCAGTATCTCTGGTCATAATCTCAGAGTTACCTTTTACTCTTACTTTTCTATCACTGCTTATATCTGTCAAATTAATAAACAGAAACCTCATAAAATTGGAGCTGGGAGGCCCAAAGGGGGAGCTTTCATGTCCTATGTCAGTAGCAGGGCCCAAAAGGAAGAAGGAAGACTTGCTCTTCTTGACCAGCAAGAAGCTCACTCAATGAGATGCTGTGACAACTCAGGCAATGAAAAGCCACTACACCTTGAACTCTTAATTCCTCTGATGGATTCTTTCTTTACAATAGCCCTCCCAACTGCCTCTTCTCCTCTATAAAAGAGTTTCCCTTCCCTTGCTGTTGAGGGACTTGCACATGGCTCACCATGGTTGAAGACCCCAAATTGCAAGTTTTTGTTGATCCCAAATAAACTCATTTTTTGCTGGAAAAATAACTGGCTGTCTATTTGTTTAAGGTCCACAGATCTAATCCATCATGAAATCCACTTGGCCATATCTTAGAAGTTAACCCATAATCTAACCACTGCCATCTCCACTGCTATCTCTTGCTCAAATCACCCTTGTCGCTCAAATCAATTATTCTGACATCCACATTAAATATAACGTCATAGATAGATTAAAAGCAAAAGTATGGAAAAAGATATCCATGCAAACTCTAATCTGGAAATTAATCTGGACACTAATGTCAGACAAATTAGACTTCAGGAAAACAAATATTACACAAATAAACAGGGACATTACATAATTATAGAAGGCCCGATTTACTGAGAAGACATAACAATGTTAATGTGTATGCACTTAACAACAGAGCTCAAAGTTTTAAAAAGAAAGTGCTTGGGCATTAGCATTACCCCATTTGCGATATTAACAGATAGTCACATGGCCAACACTGATTATTATCGTTACTAATGAGAATGAACAATAGCTAAAACAATCATGATGTCATTTACCCAAGATTTTTGTGATCTTTGAATATGCACTGCACCCACACCACAATATGTATATATTTGAATCACTATATTACTGGACATACACACATACTTTTACACGTTAATTCAATAATTTGTTAACTATGTATTAATATTTTTCTGCCTGGTAGATGCTAGGGTCACAAAAGTAAAAAATGGCACAATCTTTTTGTCAAAGAACTTGTAGGTGAATCCAGTAAGTAGAATCACAATATGGTATGTTGAAGATTTGGATAGTTATGAACCAGGGACCTAATGCAGAGTAAGGCAATAAGATGTCAGAAAAGTATTCTAAGTTAAATAATGTACAACACAGTAATGCATCTTTAATTTGGTAAAAATTGGTTTATGACACGGTACTTACTCATGGCATACGAACCAGAAAATATAATATAATATCATATGCAACACGACACACACACACACTTACAACTACAGTTTACAGACACCATACTGCTCAACATGCTTGTTGAGGATACAGAAGTGAGAGGATAATATTTCCTTTATCTTCTGTTATTCTGACTGAAAGTGATCAATTTTTAAAAGAACACATTTTCCATTTCTGAATAAGGTCATTAGACTCTACTTCATCTTGATGCTAGTGCATACCAAAGGAAGTTGGAAGAAACATAAGCATTATTAAAAATAAATCATTTTTCTATCTCTCCACTGGAGAGGAGTATTTCAAAAGGCAAAATGCTTCCCAGAGTCAAAACAGAGTTGGGGGCTGCAGGAAGGGGAGGGTGGACGGTGAACGATTCAATTCCCTGCCGCACAGAGACCTCTGCCTTTTTGCTTAGATCAAAGTGGGTGGCAAGTGTTACTTTAGCTCAAAAAAAGTCTCTTTCAGGAGGGGATCTTCCAAGGGCAGCAAGAGTCAGTGACCAGGACCACTAAGTGATAGGAAGAAAAGATGCTCCTGAAATTCTCCGTGTTGATTCTTTGGATCAATTGGCATGTGAGTTTGAGAAGGTCCCAATTACATTAACAGGAAATCCTGAGGAGAAGGAAAGTCCTTGAGGACAGGTTATTTTGTGGTAAAACTTGAAAGGAAGAATTAAAGAAGGAAGGAAAAAAAGAGAGAGAGTGGGGGAGGGAGAAGGGTGGAAGGAGGGAGGAAAAATTATTTCAGATTGAGACAAGCCCCTAATTCCCTTTCCTGATGTCTTCTTTGTTTCTAAATAGGGGAGAACACCCAGCAGCTGGAGCAGATTCCTCGGCTTCCAAGTATCCAGGAGGGAGCAAATTTCACTGTGGACTGCAACTACTCAAGCATTTTTATCAGCTTTCAATGATACAGACGGGAGTCTGGGGAAGGTCCTGTCCTCTTGATGGCATTAGCTAAGAGTGGAGAAACAAAGGAGCAGAAGAGACTGGGGGATCAGTTTGATAAGGAAAGAAAGGACAGCTCCCTGCTCATCGCTGCAGCCCACCCTGGGGATGCAGGCATCTACCTCTGCGCAGGGGCACAGTGCTCCTGGGGCGCCTGCTGCCTGCACCCAAACCCTGCTGCAGGCTCCCAGTCACACTGCTGCCGCATTCCTCCAGCTTCTCCTCACATCCCTCTTAGCATGAACAATGATAACAACTTCAGCCCTAATGGAACCATTTCCAATGCTATTACAGAAACTTTCCCACATACACTGGAGAACAAGATTCCTTTGTTATGAGACAAACTTCTGGAAATGTAACTCACTGTTTGAACCAGTAAAATTATGTGTCTACAGCCCTCTAGTCTAGGTGGGGGGGTGATGAAAGGAGTTGATATGGAGGGACATATGGAAGACATTAGACAGCTCATCATAGTTCCTCTTAGTCATTCTATTTTCCGAAAGACCACAGCCAGGAATGGTTAGCACAAGGGGATAGAAATAGATGATTTCTCTACTTTATTCTAGTTCTCAGGGGTTGATGAATTGCTTTGTCCCAGTCTATTAAACTAGAGTGTAGTAAAAGAGGAAAGTTTCTAATTTTTTTTTTTGATAGAAAGATGCCCAAAGTGTACTTCAATAACATCCAAAGAAGTATCCCCAGTTGGTGATTCTGCAACTGCTTAAGCATCAGCTACAATAGCCTGTATTTGCACAGGATTCACTTGGGGGTTAGATTTTGAATGAGACACGTCAAGAATTTCAAATTTTAGATGCTGAAAAAGACAGAATTGGACCATTCCCTCCACCTGGCAGGCCCACGACTGGCTCATTTTTATACTTGGAGAATTCCTATTTATTCTCTAGAGCAAGGTGATATAATACACAGCACATGGGTTTTGGAGTCAAAATAACCCAGATTCAAATCCCATCTTTGCAATTTTCTAGCTCTGTCTTCTTGGGTACTTGTTTATCTTCATCTGAGCTTCCTTATAAATCTATGTTAACAAGAACACCTATCTTGCTGAGTTGCTATGAATTTAATTTATAAAATATACATAATTATATGAAGTCCCAGTACAAAATATGTTCTCAATAAATGCTCCTGTAAATAATATTCTTATTAATGCCTCTAAATACATGTTATCCCTACTGTGAAAATTCCCCTGACTCCTCAAGGAGGAATGAGTTAATCTCTACCTAATCTTCTGAATCCCCACTTTAGTAGTCAGGAAGGCAGACATCATGAGTTGCCAACCTAATCACCATTTTCTTCTGCTTTCTTATCAATTTCGATTTGGGCAACTATATCCCCAGCTTTAAAAAACAACTCACACTATATTCCACACCCTATCTTACAACTAGGGGTTGCATACAGCACTGTTCTGACCAATGAGATCTAATCAGAAAATTGCTAGGGATTTCCCATGATGTATTTGCTGTCCTGATACAGGTACCACACTTTCCTGTCCCCTTTTCCGACTTGTTTCTTGCTGAAACATGGAAGCGACAACTTTGCTACAAAAGAAAGCACAAGTGGAATCCTGCTGCTAGTCCCATGCCTGATCATCCTCTAGATGCCAAGTCAAATCCCTCCCCCAGATGTATTTTGCATAAAAAATTTTAATAAACTATTATTTGGTTGAGTTTTTGTTACTTGCAGCTAAATACAACCCTAATGGTGGTAGGATTGCCACAGAATGACTTTGTGATTTTCTATGTCCATGTGTAAGTGCAGAAATAAAGATATGAACATAGTGCAAAGAAGGGACCTGCATTTACATTGATCAGACGTATTTGTTGAAGTATTAATGTTCATGTAACTTTTTATTAAGAAAAAAACCTTCATCTTCTATTCAGAGAGGCTTCATTTTTAAATTTCCATCAATTTCTTGTACTCATGAGAGACTATGGAATTCAGTTTATCATCCTAAGTCTTTTAATAGTAGACAATATCAATTTCCAGGGAAGTAACTAATAACTGTAGTCTTACATTTTTCTCACTCCTAGATTCCCAAGGCGATTTATTTTTCTTGTTTTAACTTCATGTTACCCTAGCAAACTACTCCAAAGTCATCCACTGAAAGTTTAACGTGGAACTTCTTCATCCTGAAGATTGTAAGGGCAAATATAAATTAAAAATAAGAAAACTAATTTTAATTCTCCCTGGTATAACAAGAGAAAGACATGCTCCCTCTCCCTCTTCTTATTTACTTTAAACAACTTGTAATTATGAATTCTTTCTCTGTCCTTTTAAGATGCATGTGAATCTTTTAAAAAGATAAATAAGCGTCTCGCAGTTTCACAGTCCGAGAATGTTTTCCTCAAGCACCTGGGAACCATCTCT